TTCAACAAGAAGTGCGTAATCAGCTTAATTAGGAGGTAAACGTCTGTTCGTTTGCGAGTACTGAATAATTTATCAAGTCCTTAGAATAATAATAAAAAAAAATGCTTCTGTGTGCGCAAATTTCGGCGGTATTTTTTCGCCCAATAATAATTCCTCTGTGCATGGGTCACGTAGTCGTTTTTACGAGCATTTGCAAGTACACGTACATACATTTAACTTACTTTGCTTTAGCTAACAACCAGTTTTGAAACGCGTTTGTAGGCCTAAAAGCCATCAAGGGAGTACATAAAATGTACAAAGCTGCCGAGGCCAAATTGGCAAAGCAAGTACAAAAAAATCGAGATGTAAGTGCGCACGTGTACGAGTAATTTCTATTCTCTGCTAGACAGGTCAAGTTGGAGGTCAAAAAACGGAACCTGCACGACGGGCCCTCTAAACAAATTTAAAAAAAGTCAACTCCTTTTTACAAACACATTAATTTCGCACGTTGGCATTAATAGGATTTCTTTCAAACAGGCCACAGAGTTACTTGTCCAGTTATTTAAAGGTGCTGGTGAAAAATTACTTCTTTAAATTTTCTATTTGCTAGTTTTTATACTATGAGGTCATCTTTTGGGAATAAAAAAGATTAAATTCTTTACTAAGCATTTTTTTTTTATATAAATTCACTGTCCTTATACAAGGCATTCCTTTAATTTGTCTCGATGAGATGAAAAATGACCCTTCAGCTGACGCACAATTGCAGCCTTTGAGGACGACAAACAAGTTTCTAAAAGGCATGGTTCTGTTAGCGAAATTAGAATACAACACCAGCGATTTAAATTGCATTAGCGCACACAATATCTGCGTGTCAGATCTTCCTTCGCATGTCTGTGCTGCTTTTTGCTTTTCATTGTGAAATACATTTTATTATATACATTGCGGCCTCTCATCCACCAAAAGAAACGAACATACGCCAAATAGGCTATGAACCTCTCTCTAATGGCTTCGTGCGGTTTGTGCAAGAAAAATATTTGGTATAATTGGTCTCTGTACATTTTGTATTACGACCAAGTAATCGATCCATTCTAGGAAAAAGAGCATTACACGGAGTTTCCACGACGAGTGCAAAAATTTTAAACATTTTAGTTGGCATCAAAGAGCGTTTGTGGTTCTTATCAAGGCAAGCTTTTTGCAGCAATGAACTGCAAAGTTTTTTTGGAAGATTTGCGTTTTGAACCAATTTGTTTTTCACAGAGTGATTGTGAAAGAAATTAATTATTTAACATACTCTCTACTGATCGAAATATAAAATATTGAGAGATTAGGTAGCATATTATAACTTTTGCTTTTTTTTTATTGAAAACGCGTTGTTTGCTTTTGACAAAAATTATATCCTTATTTAATTTTTTTTTTTTAATTCCAATGAAATTAACCCTTCTTCAAGATAGGTACAGTTCAGTCAACTCATTAATAATTCCGACAGAGGGTGTTGTCTATAAATTGAAGGTTATTGCCTTTGACCAAATATTTGTTCAGAAAAATTATTTTATATAGGGAGATCGTAAACGAATCAGCTATAAGCCGCATTGTTAAAATTAAAATAATTAATATAATTATAAATAATAATAAATTAATAATAATTTAAGTAAACATAATATTAAAAAATAGATACAAATTTTTAATATGTAATTTTTAGCGCCAGGTTAATACTGTTGAATTAGATTCATAAAATTTACAAAATGAGTTAACACAAACTGAAGTGTAATATAACAATTGGATGGATAAAGTTTTTCAAATATAGCATCTAGTTTCACATTATGCAGAAAAGAAATTAAAATATAAAAATAAAAAATTTTATTTTACAACACTATAAATCATTATGTACTTACAAAGCAAAGGGAAAAAATGAGAATGTTATCATTTAATAATAAACGTACCAGGTTTTTTCTTAAAAATGAAATATCATATAATGATCGATAACATAATTATATCCGAGAAAAATATTTAACTCTTGAAATTTGAGTTGCATATTTTCTTGACAATTTATTTAATCTAAATATAAAACAAAAACTTTTGAAGTAATGCAAATAAAGTGAATAAATTAATTAATAATTTTTGTCTTACTAATTAATATAATACTGTTCACTCCCAATACAGGTTATGAGTTTAAAAAAAATGTAAATTTCAGTCCCATTATGAAATAAATGCACACAGCAAACAATGTATGTGGGTATGAAATCAACCTTGGCCCCAGCCTGGTCACTTGCAAAAAAGCACCGATGATTTAGGGCAGGTGTGCATGCATGAGACGGCGACGGGCGAGCAAGAAAGGCAGGGTACATAGTGCTGCTGCAGCAGAGTGCCCATTTAGCAAATAAAATTAGCGCCGACTGACACCTGCATTACACGAGGCCGTGCTGAATTTTGATCGCAGCGCCCAAAAAGAGATGGCCGCGCCGCCAAAAGCACTTTTCCCATGCAAATCGCCGCCGCATTAAAGCAGCAGTCGGTTTTTAATCGTTAAATGCCCATCTTTAATTCGACTGCAATTACAATACATTATTGTTTTGGTGTTTTTGTCGCGGCGGCTGATCGGCCGACGGCGCTCAAAAACGTAAACACTGCACAATCACTTTGACGCGAGAGAGCGCGCGCTAATTAAAAAGCGCCGATGAAAAATTAATCCTCGGAAAGGTAATTTTATTTGAATAATTAACGCAGAAATCCTCCGAGTGAGATTATTATCAAAGGTTTAATCTGCACTCTGCATTTTAATTGGCTGCTTTCCGACACACCAATTGGCACGCTAATTAGCGCAGAGAGAATAATCAAATGAGCCGTTTTCCCCAAAGCGGTGACATCACCATTCCCAAAAATCACAGTCCACTCATGTATAACTGCTTAGAGCAATTATCCCAAACTTGTGGATGTCTTTTTTTTAAACGCCGTTGATTGATTTTTTGAATTAAAAAATCTATCCAGTGATTATTAAGATTTATTTGTTCATTTGATGTCAATTTTTTTGAAATAACGATGACTTGTTAGCTAAACCTCTCAAATGGCATAGCAAGATAACAATTTCTTAAATTAAGTACCATTCAATGATGGATTAGGCCTTCATATTAATAATATTCAAAAATGTAAAAAAATTTAACTAATTAAGAAATCCAAAATAATGTACTTTCAGTTTTTACTTTAAATTTATAAATAATGTTAAAAGAATGACAGAATAAAACTATAAAATGGAAATAAAATTTGATTACATTTTAAATAGTATTTAAAAACAAATTTATTTAACATAAAATTAAATGCAACTTACTTTTCAAATAAATATTTTTATGTTGATAAATATTTCAGCATAAAAGTCTTGCACAGATACTATTATCTTATAATATTGTGACCAAATATTTATTTTCAATTGAAAACATTTCTATGCATATACGACAAGAGCTATTTTAGGCAAACTTTCATTGTTTCAATTGGCACTTTAGGTTTATTACAATTCTAATTTTAATTAGAACTTTGAAAAATTAAAATATAGTTTATGAGAAAACTGCTCACTTTTAAAAAAAGATGAAAAATATGGCATTTAAAATTCTGAAATAAGATGGAATGCTTTATAATAAGTTCGGCTTGGTTTTGTTTGTTCCAAAATCCACCGCTAATTGTAAGAGAAACTCGAAAAGGTTCGCACGAGATTTGAGCAGCGGGAAAAGCAGCAAAAAGTTGGCACAGTACAGTATTATGTACACGTATGGCATTCTCTCTGTGGCAAACTGCGCACTTGTGTATGTACGTCCCCTCTCATATTATCATATGTACGCGGCGACGAAAAAGATCGAGTGCCGGCGTGCAATTGGCGTCCGAAATAAAAAGTAGTTTGTGCAAAGCCCACGCCGAGACGAACCAGGTCTGCTCACTCGAAGCCGAATTGACTCAGGCCCATTACTAAACTTGCTTCGTTATCTGCGCTAAAAGCAAAGTCTGGCCACCGCATTACCGAGAATCATTTTTTCGGCCGCGCGCCAAGCACAATGCGTTCCTCGGAACGAATCTGTCCACCTTTCGGCGAGCTTTTGAGCGATTTGCGCACATAATTAATGCGGCAGTGATAGAATGGCTGGGCTGGCCGGGATATTGTGCAAAACGCTGTCACTTCGCGGGTTGAGTAGCGTGGACGCAAATCAGATTTTAGAAAAAATGTTATACGATAATTTATAATTTTTTTTTAATTATTGCCCTCTTTTAATCAGGATATTTAAGAGTGAATAACTTATAAAATTTCCTTTTTAATTAAAATCAACTTGAAAACGATGATAGCGATAAAGATTAATTGTAAGTGTAATGAGTCTTAATTTCTTATCAATTTACATGAAATTTTGTTGCATGAGTATTATCACATTATGTGAGATAAAAGTAACGACCAAAGTAACCAAAGGAGACAAAAAATTTAAGACAATTAGGCTCACCTTTCTTGAAATATTTCTCCATCATCCACATCAAGTTCTTCAGGCGTTTGTCTCTCCAATGCTAAGGAAACACAATTCATCTTAATTAAGTTCTTGGTTTGTGTTCCTTTTCATTGAGATGTGGGTGCACCGAGATGTGTTGTCGAATGGGAAACTTCCGCCTGCAAAAGTGAAGATTAAAACTGTTGAATTCCTATTTGAATAAAAAACTGCACTGAATCCGAGTAAATATGCTGCATTAATGAGACACTTTTCCCGAAAATGAAATTCCACAGCACGGCCAATTTTCCGTCAAAATCCTTGAAAGAAAATCAGCACGCACAACTCACAGAAAAATCATATGAAGACTACCAACTTTATTGTAGCAGCTGCAAATCAACAGTTGGCCAACATAACATTACATAATAATAAACCATCCCCGGCACCCCCACCCATGGTCATGCTGCAAAAACGAAAAACTAGACAAGAAAAGAGGTGATCTAGACATTTTTGTCCTATGACTCTCCTTGATTTACCCTCTCCATAGTCAAGGAGAACCTCTTATTGCGCGATTTCTTCAGTTCTGTGCCGTCTCTAGCCGCGATAGGAATCTTGTCTGTGAATTCGAGTGATTTCGTTTCTCATCCGTTTTCATCGCTTCATTGCAATCTGCCGGCAAACGTGAGGTAAGTCGTTGTTCTATATTCAAATAATCATGATAATTGATGGCGTTGATGGGTTTCAGGCGAATCAAAAATCTTTTTCTGGAGAGATTTCGTAAACGATTTCATTCGCATTCAACGCACATCCAAGTAGTTTTTCAGAGTTTTTAACCAAAATTTAAGAAAAATCCAAATAATATTTCATATAATTAATCTATCTCTCACTATCTCTATTAATTAATTCCACTCTCTGAAAAATTAATGTACTTAAATTACAATTTAAAGTGGATTTTTACTTACATAATAATGAATTATTTTATTTGAAAGTCAATTTTCTGCAAAAAAAGCCGTTTTCATACGTAGAATCCATTTAAATTTTACTCGAACCAACTTTTGATGCGTTTCTTCAACATCATTTATTGCAGATTTTAGTGTGAATTTCGGTAAATTGCAATCAGTTGAGTTTTCTCCGGAGTCCTTTATTGATAGTGCAGAAGGTTTTTAGTTTTGATATTTTTTTTTTCAAATTTATTTAAAAATCATAATGTTGTTTTGCTGGCATATCCTTATTGATGGTCCATGAGAAAGATGACAGGCAAAGCCGAATACAAATGGTAACGGAAAAAACTAAGATTTTTGGATTAGTGATTGGTGTTCAGATTTTATTTTTGTTTTTAAAGAGATTTAGCGACAGTTTTATGTGCTACTTTATAATTTTTTATTAAATTAATCAAATTAATATGCTATTTTATTTTTCAACAATTTTTAAAATTTTCTGCCAGTGATCACATTTTCATAATATTTAACTTCTTTATTTTCTGGAACTGCAATTTGTGTATATTGGAATTGGTTTCAGAAGTTTAATAAAATAAATACTGGTGGATAAATATTTTGATCAGTTGATTGAACGAAATCCTGGATCGGTGCAGGTCTAAAGTGAACAACCCAAACGCCGGGGCCAGCTTTCAGTTCAGAGACGAAATGAGTGGCAATATTTTTATTGTTGGCTGAGCCGAAAACGAGACAGAGTTATAGACGTACATACGCATGTACCTGGCGGAGTGCGAAAGACAACATGCGAGAGAGTCGCGGGCGAGTTTGGAGGAAAAAAAGAAACGTCTGGAGTGTCTGGTGCCCACCCCTATGTCCTCTTTGTTGAGCCTGTTTTGTCGCAGGCGGGCTCAGGTGCCCGAAATGCGACGACTGCTTTCGTCTCGAGGTCATCAGCCCCTCGCTTCAGGTATATCATACCCTGGCTCGGCCTGGCCTGGCACGGCCTGCCCTGCCACATACAGACCCGAGTTGACCGACGCCAACCTCTTTTTTTGCGCGGCCGTAAACAGCACCCAGCCCAAAAGTCTCTTGCTTTGCGCCTGCACAAAAGCAGCGAGAAGAGAGCATTTTTGGTCGGCCTAAGTGGCCATTTATCACTGATTGCCGCGGCCGAAATGCTGCAAATAAATCCACTCGAGGTCGCCGCCGCCGCGCTGACAAAGAAATTCGGCGTTCGGGGTGAATTTATAATCGGGCACAAACGCCGCGCCAGACACACTCGGCATTTTTATGATTGTTCCAAGCGTTGCTGACGGTTTGGAATGCGACAAATTATGGCTCTCAAAGTATCGCCCGTATGTGTCTGCGGAGGATTTTTATTGTGCAGGACAGAATTACCATTATGTTTTAATGAGCAGGGCAAAAACTTTTGAACAATTCGCAATATTTTTAATAAAACTATTTAGACACTAAATTGGAAATTCATTTTTGCTGGCATACAATGTGATCATAAGTGTAATTGTATAAATTTTTTTTAAATTACCAGATTTTTATCAGATTTTTTTGCTTGTTTATAAATTTGAGTTTCCATTGTTCTTTTTGGATGATATATAATTGGAATTTCTAATTTTGAATATGATATTTATGCATTATCATGATATAGATGTTAATTTGGTGAATTTTATTATAAAGTTGATGATAGTTAACCAAATTTTTAATTGGAACATTTTCTTAATTAAATACAAAAATGATAAAGTGAACCATTTAGAGATGTCAGTTCAGAGAGATCAATTCAGTATTTTGTTTTGTTAAACATTTTACAGGACAACAGTATGAAAAGTTATAATTGATAAAAAAAAAATGGAATGAAGTTTTTTTTTATAAATGAAACAATCAATGTTAAAATTTTTATACGCTAATTTTTGCCAATGTGTCTAAAAATAATATTAATCCATTTTTAATTACGTTATTTGCTAAAAGTTTCAATTAATACAAAAAACAGCTCGCCATGAAACAAAATTACAATTACGCAATTAAGTAAGAATTTTTATGCAAAATTTAAGTTATTATCAAAAAACATGACCCTCAAGTGACAGCGATCACTGAGGTTATCTAGCAGACGGCCCCAGACACAAGGCCTCATTTGTGTGGCAGACAAACAAAAGTTTAAATCAAATTGACACTCATGTGTCTGTGAAACTGCATTGGCTGTTGGCAATTTTTGTAAAAACGCTGCTAATTATCTCCAAAAGTTGTTGCGGACAAAAAGAATTATTCTGTAACGTGCGCGCAGCATCTGGACGAATTTAAATTTCATTCGCTGACCTGCTTCAATGCAAAACTGGCTGATCGCGCAGTTCAATGACTTTAAAATAATTTGGAAAGGCTGCGCGCAGAAGTTTTTGTGCAGATGCGATTGGGCTGGTGGCACAAGACACCCGAACCCGATCTGTTGCTCCATTGGTGAAAACACATTTATAATGCACCACATAAATGGTACATACGAGAGGCAGCATTTTTGACGTCCACTGCCGTGCGTACGTGCCCTCCAAAACATTGAAATTGCGCTATTAACCGTAATAAATTTTGAAATCGCAAATCGCAAGATATTTCGGTCCGGCCGCAATGAAATAAATCAAGTTTTGGAGTGATTAATATTGTTTTGCAAAGATACTGGTTGTCAATTTATTTTTAAGATTAGCAAAAACTTGTCTTACGGGCTTGGTTTCATGCTTTGCTTCACACTTTGAAGAAACAAAAAATTAATTAAAATTCACCTCTAATGATTTTATTTTTTAATTTCATGTTGTTTTTGAGATAATAAACATGATATAAGATAAGTTAAAAGTTAATTTCAAAATAAAATTAATATTATTAGTGGAAATTTTTTCAAACGCATTGAAAATTGTAATGCATTAAAATTTTGCGAGTAATAATTATAAAATTTTAATTATTTATAATTCTCTGGTTGTTATTTTTTTTCTTTGTTTTATTATTTTAAAATCTTGTTAAAACGGAACTTGAAATTTCTTTAAAAAAATTTGTAGATTTTTAGGACGGGGAAATATGTGATATTGTAAATCATTTTGCATCTCAAATTCCAAGCGACCTTTTATATATTGATTTTTTTAAATTTGGAAGGAAAATATTTTTATTTTTTATTGAGAGTGATTGAGACGTAAGCTTAATTTTCAATGTGTGGAATTTAAGTAAATATTTATTTTTCTACAGAAGCTCTGACTATGGTATTGAAATTTTAAATTAATCTCAGGCCTCCAGTGTGCATGAACTTTGACCTATTTCCATTATAGCAAAGTTGATATCTTCATTTTCTTTAATTATATTTAAATAATTGTTGTTATTTATCCATATTGTTACATAATTATACATTTTTTTACATTCAAAATGTGTTAATAAAATTTATTTAAAAAAGGAAATTATTTGATACAATGACTAAATTTGCAATAAATTTGTAAAAAAATCTAGTTCTCAAAACAATTGCTATTTAAAAGAAAAAAAAAACATTAACATAATCCTGCATGAATATTTCTCAAGTCTATGTCTCAGAAAACTTTTGACTCGAGGACCTAATAGAACTCTAAAATTACTCAGCTCCTCATGTGCATGTCAGCAATAAATTTCATCTGCCATGGTTGTCCGCCCTATCGCTATCGTTTGCTGTTTGGCGCGCACACCGCGTACACACACAGTGCAAAAACGATTCACACTCATTGCAACTCATGAACGTATGAAAACTGTTTTTACTCTTCTTCTTTTCTTATCGTCTAGCCTTCATAAAGCCGTCTTTGTAGTCTGGGCTTGTAGTGAAATGAAAACACACTCTCTTATTCAGCGCCAGACACATTCGCTCGCCGCCGCCGCCGCACTCATTTATTTATTTATTCTCGTTTGCGGCAATTATTTATTTACTCTCGGTTTTTTGCCACGTGAATAAATGCAGCTCCGCGCAATCTAAACGCAGTTGAGCCGCCGCGCGTGCAAAAACCCCCTCGTTACATTAATGCACTTTTTGCAATGACCTTTACTCGGCGGAAGTTCACCCGTGACATCACCAGCAGTTAATGCGTCCGCAACTCACCGAGAATGAATGAGATAAGAAAAATACAGCTAGTGCATTAATTTTCTTCTTTTCAAAAAAGGTCATCTCAATATTCAAAATAAGTCCAACGTGCTGCGCAATTACAGTTTTTGTTATTATCTTTAAATTGTTAAAAAATGGCTCTTTTTATAGTGAAAATATTTAATTTTTGCTAAGATTTGATAATGCGATATTTATTTTTTTAACTTTGTCAATTTAAAATTTCCATGCTTAAAGAATTAGTTGAATTCTTTTACAAGTTTAAAAAAATTGAAGCTTCAAATGAGGTCGCTAATGATGTATAAAATTTGGTGATAAAATATTTCAGCATAAACTCAGCACTCACAATTGATAAGTAATAGGAACACAAGTAGGCGCAATAAAACAGACGCAATGATGCTAATTGCCCTTCGTACAATCTCAAGGCTATCTCGTGTACAGTTCCACACCAAACGATTTTGTCAACCTAGGGCCCGTCACATTTTTGAAATTAGATTGCTCTTTTTTACACAAATCAAACTTTTTAATAAAATTGACGTTTTCTGTGCATTAAATTTCATTTACATCAAAATATGGAATTTTTAAAAATGGATTTTAAAAATGAAAAAAAAAAAAACTGAATATTACATTAAAATAATAATTATAATTTGCA